AGATTAAAATCAAGGCAACTATCGCCAACGCCACCACAGGTGCTACTAGGAGTATGAGAATAACGTCCAGTAAAATCCACTTGAACACTGTTTCCATGATGACGACTACTGTTCCACAGACAAGCCATACATAACATACAAGGCAGATCAAAGCCACGTCAAGAAACAGTACGAGATGTGGAAGGACATGGACTACGTCAAAAGGGGAATGAGATAAGATGTTGCGGATGTGGAAACAGGATACGACTCACGGTTTCTTAACCCTGCTCGCATCCAGCGAGATATCCGACCACGCGCACCAGGTGAGTGAGGGTGATTCATATAACCATCGTAAGCGGATACAAGCTGTGGTATCCCAACGAGACTCATAGCCCACTGGCCATTTCTTGAAGCCCAAACTGGCGCGGACAGTTTATGAAGCGATCCCAAGATCAATGCTACGCAAGTTGTACCGCTCACAGGAATCACGGTCGCGACTGCTGTGAGCATGAAACAAGTTGACGTTAGAAATAAGCCATACGTTCGCGGCGATGATGAGGTCGAAAAAGCCTGGTATATGGAGGAAACGACATAACAAGAATAGTATGTGAATCCGGATGCAAGGAATAACGCGATTAGGTGCAGCAGTATGAGGACCACAGTCAATGCATTGGCGAGGACTGACGCTATGTGTAAGCCGATACTAGAGTATATGATCTAAATACTTGCCTCTGATGCACTCGGCCGTATAGTCGATGTGGAAAAGTTTCGGGAATGCCTTCGTAGAGCTTGATTCGTAGAGTCCGACCCAATAAAGACTGACAATGCACCCATGGTAAGGAGCAACGCAACCCACGCGACATGCACAAATCTCACCCAGTGACAACCCAGACCCCGAAGACACACTCAACAATCTTGAACTCCAAGTCGGGTTTACCATACGACAGCGCAGCCTTGGTGAAACCGAACAATGCAACCGACACTGTGACCAAGATGCGGTAACCCGTTATTGGAGGATGCCTTAAGGTGAGCATCATGCTGACATTATGTTCCTCCGTGAGGTAGGAAAGCGTAGGGGACCCGGTGAAATAGCGAAAGATTGCCCACACATATGCCATATGGTCCACATGGAAAAACCAAGTCATTACAGGGCCAGGAGGCCGTTGTTCCTCGTAGCTTCCAATAAGGTTCAGACTGAAAGGGAACATCCGAGGCCAGGTAAGCCATACTGTCGCTCATTGTATGAGCTACCTACAGCAGGAAGAAGACAACGCCCAAAATCCATTCGATTGTTATCGATGCAGATGTCAGTTTCAGAAATGACGTGGCAGATTTTGCCACCGCTAGGCCCAGCGTCGATGTTATGACTAGAATGCGATAGATAGTCAGTTTCGGGTGCCAGGCGCGTCCAGTAGTTGTCGAGAGTGTTCCCCATTCTGGATCTTCGTCGGCCAGAAGCCCCAGAAGAACGCCAGTGGCGGGAGAGTCGGAAGGCTCAACGATCGCCATTGGCGTGCAAGAACGGTTCCGCAGCACAGTGCATGACCAAATGACAGAAGCGAAAATTTCCGAGCGCTGAGCCCTGCGCTATTCAGTTATGTTACGGAAAGCGGTTATATGACTGCCTTCACGACTGTGACGCGACAAGTCGAAACTGGTCCTGACTGGTCATGAACCGGCCCAGCCTGGTGTAGCATGCTTGTGTGCAAGCCTCCATAGGCGGAACGACCTCGACCACCCATAAGTTTTTGAGAGTCGTCGAAACCTGGCTGGTCGTAACCGCACAACCATGGCCAAACAAGGCAGAAGGTCAATTATGATGCTTCCCAGTTTTGGGTTGATTTCTGAAACTGGTCATGACCTGGTGAAGACCATGGTGATAAAAAACTGGCCAGTCGGTCCTGACCGCAAAACTATGGCAACAGGGACTGACCTGCTCTCTAACATACAAAACAATAGAACCCGCCCACAAGGTCAATGATGATGCTAACCAGTTGGGTCAATTTCTCAATATCAAGCGGGGTCGTCGTTGACTCGACCTTCGATTGCTGAAACAACTCACAAAGACTCTCGAAACGCGTCGTATGGGATAACCGGCACCGCTGTCCCTGACGGCCCAACATCTCCACTGTGGAATTGCCGCCAACGGAACTTCGTCTACTGGATTGCCTTTGGAATATAAAAGCTTTGAGATAGAAATGCGACTCTCAAGCCGAAGCGAGGACGTTTGAGAACCATGCGATTTACTCGAATTATCGGCGCATTTTCTTTGCTGGCGGGTGCCTACGCTGCGATAGGCCCCACCGCCAACCTGCATATTGGAAACAAAGTCATCTCACCGGATGGTTTCAGTCGCTCGTATGCCCAAGCTCTGTATTTTTATTTCAGTGTACTGAACAATTTTCAATTATATAGCGCTGTACTTGCTGGTAGCAATGCCGACTCGCTGACATTTCCTGGACCAGTAATTAGCGGTTCCAAGGTGCGTTACGTTCAAATACTGTACAGCAAACCTAATGATAATACTATACTCATACAACACAATACGGCAGGGCAGCACTTTCCGGCTCAACGTGATTAACGCCTTGACAGACACAACAATGCTCAGGAGCACGAGTATCGTAAGGGTTAACTCATTATCCACTACCAGAAGTCTAACATGCACGCATTAGCATTGGCACGGTATGTTCCAACAAGGCTCGAACTGGGCAGATGGTGCCGTCGGTGTCACCCAATGCCCTATTGCTCCGGGGCATTCTTTCCTCTACCAATTTTCGGTCCCAGACCAGACAGGAACTTATTGGTACCACGCGCACCATTGTACGTACATCGCTCGTTTCAGCTGCGAATACGTTTCATATTCATCTCATACAGCAACACAATATTGCGATGGACTTAGGGGTGCGCTTGTTGTATATGACCTCGACGACCCCCATAAAAACGAGTAAGGAGCTATGAATTCTGATTACAGCCGGGCTTTATTGACGAATACTTATCAGGTATGATTTTGACGCAGGTCAGCCAATTTAATCCTCGGCAGCGATGTTGACATGGACACTCAACGCGTGCTTATTCTCTAGAATCGACCATAATCACTCTCGCCGACTGGTATGTGGAGTTTTCATGAAACTGATATCGTTGCGATCCTTGATATTGTATAACCTGGTCAGGTATCACAAAACCGCCCCTTCCGCTGGGCTAGGTCCCAATTCCGATTCGACTCTCATCAATGGATTAGGCCGCTATGCTGGCGGCCCCGCCGTTCCTCTCACAGTGATCCAGGTTGAGCCGCACAAACGCTATCGTTTCCGCTTGATCTCCATTTCTTGTGAACCCAATTATGTGTTCTCAATCGATGGCCACACAATGGTGCGCGCCTTCAAGAACGACATCATAGGCGACCGCGATTGATGACATCTAATTCTAGACAATTATTGAAGTTGATGGCGTCAGCGTCCAACCCCTCGCTGTTGACTCACTCCAGATATTCGCAGGACAGCGTTTTTCGTTCGTGTTGAATGCAAACCAACCCATCGCAAACTACTGGATTCGCGCGCAGCCCAACGTCGGCCCAAAAGGTTTCGCTGGCGGAGTCAATTCCGCCATTCTCCGATACATCGGTGCGCCTGAAGCCGACCCAACAACCACACAGACGCCTCCCAGCAGCCGAATGTTGGAGACGAATTTGCACCCCCTCTCAAACCCAGGTGCACCCGGAATACCAAGCCCCGGTGCTGCGGATGTCAATATCAACCTGAAAATTGACTTCAACTTTACCAATATGAAGTTTACCGTGAATGGGGCTACTTTCGCGCCTCCGACGCTCCCGGTACTTTTACAGATCATGAGTGGGGCGCAGACTGCGCAGGACTTGCTTCCTTCAGGGTCTGTGTATGCTCTACCCCCAAACAAGGTGATCGAAATATCGATTCCCGGCGGTGGAAGTCCGGTAGGCATCTTTCTTTACTTTTATGGTTCGAGTCATTCCTTACTGAGTTCTCGCGTTTCGCATCGCAGCATCCGATTCATCTTCACGGAGTAAGTCCCGTATCTCTCGGTTGGACTGCGGCTCGGGTGGGTCCGAGACTGAAGCTCGGTGTTTTCTGTTTTAGCATAACTTCGATGTTGTTCGGAGTGCAGGGAGCGCGGTGTACAATTACGTCGACCCTGTGAAACGCGATGTTGTGAGTGCTGGTGCAAAAGGTGATAATGTTACGATTCGCTTTGCGACGGACAACGCGGGGCCCTGGATATTTCACTGGTGCGTTCTTTTCCATCGCATAGTCGATCAAGAGTTTGCTGATAGTGGTAATGTCTCTAGCCATAATGAGTGGCATCTAGAAATGTGTGTACACTCCTCGCATCACTTATGTTATCCAAAAAGGACTGACCGGACCCAATTATTGTAGGGGGCTCGCCATTGTAATGGCAGAAGATATACCCACTATCGCGACTAGCGACCCTCCACGTATGCCTTCTCTTTTCTTTGGAAGACTTGAAGTATCCTGATTGATTATTCTACAGCGGCTTGGGATGAGCTTTGCCCCACATATAAAGCATCACCTCCTGAGACTTTTCCTCGAAGCGTGATGGGCGAATTGAGAACAAGGAATGACGGCCTAGTGGGGCAAAAAAGGCTTTCGCCATAATATTTTCTGGTTTACGGTGTTTTGTATTACGGAGTCTCCTCCGATCCTTGACGCAATACAGTTGTTGTCAGTGAACTTGACAGGCGAACAGTCTTTGCAAAATGTCTACTTACCGCGCCAAGTCAACTGGCAACCTACACCATACATACTGTACGCTTGACTGCACCTGGAAGCAACCAGACGTCGAATTCTCTGAGTGCTTGCGATGTGGATTACTTCATTACGGAGAGTGAGAGGGCGTAAGGAAACCACGTCCCGTCCGCATATGCAATCCACACTCTTTCCGAAACGACATTAGCCCCTCGAGTGGTGCGTATCTCATCAACGCTCCCGACCCGGACCGATGGTATCCAACGGGTAAGCGCTCGTACGGGTTAGATGGCCGAGCGGTCTAAGGCGCCAGACTAAGGATCAGGACTGTATCAGTCCACCAGGCAGGGGTTCGCACCTCGGCAATCTGGTCCGAAAGGGCGTGGGTTCGAATCCCACTCTAATCATCGTTTTGCTTTTGTTTTGGAGGGAGAAGGAAGGAAGGAATTGTTATACATGTACTGTGTGTGACCTGCAGTGCAGATATATGATTGTGGCTAAGAGTTGGGCCTGATCCAAGGTTTGATCGATTTGCTCGGAATTATTGTGCTCGCCGAAAGACCTCGGCTCGCCACTTAAACTTGACAAACAGCGTCAGCGACAACGACGGGGTAGTATAGTAGTATGTAGATGGAGAAGCGGCTGGAACTGCGACTTGGGATCGCGTGCGCCCGCATGGTTTGGATTGTAACCCCACTCTACAGAGTCCCCTACAATATTGACCTCCAAACGTTATCCGGGAAGGAAGGACGTATAAGCCGTAATAATAGCAATTAACTTCTTCTCAGTTGTGGATCCCTGTGGGTGCGGCAAAACGCTGGGAGCTGCGGATTGATTGGCTTACAAGCATCTGGTACGTTGACAGTGTACGAATACGGCACATGTTCCCGATGAACTTCCGAGATTCGTAGCCTTTTGGCAAGGGTTACCGCACCAGGACCCTCAACCGCCGACTTACATGCGGTGAATTAACTTACGACCTGTGGAAGTACCCTTTACGTTACGACGGTAGTAGCTAGGTTGAAACCACCGTCGTAGTTTTATCTCGATTCCGGCACTTTGATTGAAGCGTGAGTATGCTATGATTGACGTCGTCATTTAGAGGTAGCGCAAGTAACACCAATACGAGCAACGAGTAAGAGTCGAGAGTGGTATTATCGGTTTGTTTACCTGACTTGAGATACGGAGGGATAGGGGGTGGGGAGAGAAGTACTCTGTACATAGTTCGAATTTGAGATAGCGATTGGTGAGAACACCAAAGACAGCGGATGAAATGAATATATGCAAGACGACGACGACCCACCCACGAATGCGGAGAATTTGGGATTCCAATATCCACATAAATGTGTCGGATCTGACGCAAGTGGAAGGCGAGGCGACACAAAAGACACAGGCTGGCGGTTCCCGACGCACACGTAATTGTCATTCATTGAAATGTGAAAAACATCAAACCCTGCTCCTCGCCTCAACGTCGGTAACGCCGTTGGTCCTGCTCTTAAGCACGGAGCGCTCAAGTTGAAGCCGAGTGAGGGATCGTGGGTGCCTCGAGTGGGGCAGTATCTATCTACAAGGTTCCCGACTCGATGCTATCCGACGTGTGACAAGGCGTCGGAGCAGCATCAGCATATGTGGCAGAGGTAGTAGTAGTAGTAGTAGTAAGAGGTTGATGGAAGCGGCTGAGAGTGCGGCTTTGCGATCCCGTGCGACGCCTGATTGAATTGCAATGACCTCCAGGACATCATTCGGGATTGAAGGACATAAGTATAGGCCGTATAGCAAGGAAGTTCTTTTCAGTTGTGGTGTCGTGTGAGTGCGAAGGGACTGCTAGGAGCTGCGCATTGTTCGGTTTACCAGCACCTGATACGTTGACAGCAAGCTCGCACGACCCGATTCGATGTCATCGCAGAGGCCAAAGAGCTAGCGAAAGCAGCACCAGAGGCGGAGGTAATGGCAGGCGGCCGTGGCAGAAATGAATGGCGTTGGAAGCAGCTCTGTCTGCGGCTTCACCTCGCTTGCAGCTCCGTAGAACGAAAGAACAAGCCCAGCATCATTGGGATAAATTGGACACGTAGGCGCTCAAGTCAAGGATTTATTCTCCACCCTATCAGTGCCTCAGCTGCCCGTGTCGAAGCTGCTGTACCGGGAGATTCCTAGTCTTGTTCGGTTCACCAGCACCTGATACGAGTAAATGAGCGCGTCGTTAGAGAGGATGGCAGTATGACGCCCAAATGACAGCGCAAATTCCCCACCCAACGCGCTATTTGTCCGCGTTTGCCCGTTTACAGCCTCGCTCCCAAAAAGCTTCCGTGGTGACGCGGTCCCGTGACCCGAAGTTGAAGTTGAGAACCCTGCTGCCCCGGTGCTAGGCTCCTTGTTCTCTCCCTCGCAATCCCTCCCAGCGCACCTAGCAAGTCACTGTCCTAGCTCTGTCTAGTCAGCGCCCGCTGTCTGTGAGCTTGGGGAGTTGGTATAAGTAGAGGTACGCATTGCCTAGGTGTGTGCTTTACTCGATGTGGAGGATGCTTGGGCCATGACTGACGGAGGAGCAGAGTTCCTATTTTCAACAAAACATCAAACGTATTAACGCGTATCTAGCTCACGAGTCTTTAACGGCCTCTTTGACACGACACGTCAACATCTAACGACCTGCTCATTTCTCTTTTCTTTTGCTCTTATTTTTCACCGACTATTCACGATTTTCCATTGATTTTCACGACGCTTTATTCGTTCTGTAACGACACAACCAAGTTCAAGTTCAACTTATATTTCAACAAACCAACAACATCAACATCAAGAACAACAACAACAAAATGCGCAGCTCACCACCACTACTCTCAAGACCCACCGCGGCCGCCGCAACGCCGCCCTCCCACCCGCACGCAAGCCAATCCCAAGCAGGCCCAGCGCCCATTCCCTCCATCCGCCTCATCTCCGCCACCCCCTCCGCCACCGGCCTCTCCTCCGAAGCCAGCACCTCCTTCTCCCGCACCCTCGAAGAATCATGGGCATCCGCCTCCCTCCCCTCCCCCCTCGCGCCCAAATCCTCCGCAGCCGACACGCGCAAGCGCCTCGTGCCCAAGAAATCAAAGCTGAGCATCCTCAGCATGGGCCGCGACAAAACCGCCGACCGCTCCAAGGACCTCTCCGACGTCGTCCGACGCGTGGGCGGCGGCTCGACGGCCGCGCGCGGGTTTGAGATTTATGTGGACCCGATGGTGGATCCGGATATTGGGGAGATTGTGATGGTGAAGAAGAAGAAGAGCCGGGCGGCGCTGGATGGGATGGCGTGGGGTGCGCTTGGGGAGGTGACGAATGTGCCGAGTTTGCCGAAGGGAGAGAAGAAGGAGGCGCCGGGGCTGTTGAAGGTGAAGGAGGGGGAGAAGGAGAAGTGGTGGAGTATTGGGAGGGGGAGGAAGGATTCGAAGGAGAAGACGAAGGAGAGCAAGATGAGCTCGAAACGTGAGTTTTTCTGGGATCTTTCCACCGCGCATATATTGACATGTTTTTGCGTAGCGGTGGAGTTTATATACGAACCCACACCACGATCCAAGAGTAAGCGCCATTGCCCTCGCGCATATACGAACCATATTCTGATCTTCCTCTTCCCGTACCAGCACCCGAACCGTTCAAATCACAAGAAACGCGCGGCCGATTCAACTCGCTCGACTCGGGCATCCTCCTCAACCCCGCTCGCCAACAACAACCAAGCAGCATCCGCGCACAACAAGCCCCCAACAAATCCCCCTCCCCAGCAGCATCCGCACACAACCCGTCCAGTTCGTCGACGACGAGCAAAGCCCAGTAACCTACTCCCGCGCAGGCACACCCACAGCCGGGGGTCTCCTCGCGCCCGCCCCTAGTGGGAATGCGCAGGGATCGATAGCACTACGCGCTATAAGGTCAGTGCGCTCGTTGGCGAGGATGGGGAGTTGGGCGCAGTTGAAGAATATGGAGGAGGAGGTGGAGAGGGAGGAGGTGGGGACAGTTAGGGAGAAGAAGAAGTCTACGAAGGAGAAGAAGGAGGGGGGTAAGGATAAGGAGAATAAGGAGAAGAAGAAGGACAAATCATCCAAAGCGAAAGACGGCGAGGAGACAGGCGAGAAGAAGAAGAAATCCCTCAAATCGAAGACGAAGAAAGACAAGGACACCAAAGACAAGAAGGAGAAGGAAAAGGCGCAAACCATCCGCATGTCCTCATCCTCCTTCGAAGTCGGCGCCCTAAACCACACTGCCAGCCCCCTCCCCGCCTCCAAAACCCACACGCTCGGGTCGCGGAAGCACTCTATCTTGGGAATGGGGCTGCCTAGTAGTATGCGCCTTCCAGGCATGCGCAGTGGATCAACGGCGTCGTCGCTCGGTCCTACCTCCATGATGGGTTCTGCCACTACGGCTACATCGATGGCTCCGGCGGTGGCGCCTGCTACTGTGCATAGACTGAGCGTGGACTCCGCTCTGATGCTCGGCCGACCAGCATCGGTGCTCTCATCCGGCTCCTCTCTCCGCCCGCTCTCGACAACTTCCACGAACTCGCGGAACTCGCGCGCGTCGTCGGGGTCGGGGGTTTCAGTGGCGTCGGGCGGGTCGGCTGTGTCGGTTAGGTGGGATGAGGAGGGGTTGGATACGATTAAGGAGCAGAGGAAGACGGAGAGGCAGAAACTGCACAAGAGACGCGCGGAGGCGGAGGCGGCCTCGGGTGCGGGAGAGACCAAGGAGGGAGGGAAGGAGGGGAAGACGGAGAAGAGCGAGAGGAGAAGCTCGAAAGAGAGTCGCAGATCGTCGGAGGGCAGGTGGAGGACGCCTTTGTCGGCTGTTTTCCCTGGTCTTCAGCATGGCGGTCAAGGGGCGGCGGAGGCGTCGGAGCAAGGTGTGGAGGGGTCGTTCGAGGGAGGGTCGGAAGAGGGACACGGAGAAGAAGAAGAGGAGGAGGAAGAGAGGAGGTATGTCGGGTACCCGATTCTGACGATCGAAGAAGCGACGTCGGATGGGCATGGGCGACCTGACTCGGAGGAGGAGTACGACGGTTCGGAGGATAGCATGGTTGTTGATGAGGTTGAGCAGGAGGAGAGGGGAGAGGAGAAGAAGGTGGAAATGGAGAAGACCCCGGTGAAGAAGGCAAGAGCTAGGCCTTTGTCGGAGCAGTTGCTTGGGAGGAGTCGGCCGAGGCCTATGTACGAGGATGAAGAAGGTTCGTCTCATTCGTTTATTCTATCAAATTACGCAGGTTTACTGACGAAACAAAATTGCAGGTGTCATCTCGATCTTAGATGCAGCCACGAACGACCTTGCCCTCCTCATCAACAACCTCGACCTCCAAGCCACACCAGGCACAACACCCAACACACCCGACATGACGCCCCTCCGTCCCTCGCCCTTCCCCTCTCCCTCGCCGCTCTCCTTCCCCACCTCC